TTTACCCTCAAGAGGATGAAGAAGAAGAGAAAGAGAAACCAAGCAAAGATTTAGAAGCTAATCCTACGGAGGCTTCTGTAGCCAAAGAGGAGAAGGGATCTAGCTAATGAAGATGCAAGGAGGCTGTTGTCTCCACTTTGTATTTTCAGACATGGACTTCTGCAGAGTGTCCATCTTTTGAGTCATCAAGAAATGTTTCACCACTGTTCTATTCACTGCATCATAGTAAATAATTTATTGCAGGAGAAATCTCAGTGCTACAGCCTTGCAAATAAATACTGCAAAAAGAATGAATATGTGTATGTACTAAGTAACCTGTTAGTGGACACTCACAATACTTTAATAGTTATTTTTTCCCTCAAATTCTCAGCTAGTCTTTTGACTTGAAAAATATCTCTAAATACATAAAACATACAACTTTCAACTAAAATTTCCACTAGTGCACCAGGTCTGTCTTCATTTCAATGTGTTCTGATTAGTAGCTGTTCTTTCTTTTTCTTCTTCTTTTTTTTTTTTTATTCTGTCCTATGACTAGAAATTGAATTAAAAGACTGTTTTTCCGTAAGGCTTTTTTGCCAGAGTGATTCAGGATGTTGAAAATGGCTTAATTTAGAATTTGTTAATTAATTTCAAATGGCATTATTTAGATTATGGTTGCGTTTTACTACTGACATCAGGTAAGGACTGCCACAGAAATGTTGGAATGTGTGGCTCCTTTGATTTCATTAACTGATTGTGATAACTTTTACATTTTCAAAAATGCTTTGTTGTGCAACTTTTGAGATGAATGGAAAGAATGCTGATCACTTGTTTTAGTTTTGCTCTGAAAGCAGTGTTTTTGAGTTTTCTTAGTTAGTGTCTGCTTCTTCAGTGTATAGACAGGCTCTTATAAAATGCTTTGAGATTAAAATGAAAATGTTACCTGGTGTAGTGATCTTGAAACAGATACTGTGACTTAAGTGCATATTAAAAAACAAATACTTTTTACGTTCATTAAAAGCTCTTGCTTCTCTGGGGGTTTTTCATTAACACTGCTTGGATTTGAAAGACCATGACATTCTTCTGCATTGTAAGTAGGCCGTGTATTAATTTGTGTGTTGTGCAGATCAGTTGCCTCGGCTTGTCGAGTTTTATTCCTGTCCCGTTTCCTCTCTTTCCCCCTCCCCTAGCAGGGAAGCACAAAAAAATGTAAACCACTGTCAGTAATTACAGTGGATTGGATCATGAACCAGCACTATAAAGGCTTTGAGGTCCTGAACAGCTGTTCAAATACATGATAATTACTTTAGAATTATAGATAGTTTAGTTCACGATAGTTTAATACCTGTGGATAAGAGAACGCTACATTATATTTCTTTCCAAGCAAAGCTGTGAGAATCATATTACAAAACCAGCTGTACCAGTGGCTTCAGTACATGTCCATTGCAGCTTTCCTCCATATGTGTTGCTTAACTTACAAAACGTAGGAAAGAACATTTGCAATGGCAGTAATATAACCCAGTAAATCCAGTAATGCTTGAATGCTTGCCTTGTCTCTGTGCGCAGGAGTCCTGAGCACTCAGCAACACTGCTTCCGGATAATGCTTTGGTGTCTTGTTGTTCACCTAAATTATTTCAGTGTTAGTGGGGATGCTTCTGAATGTCTTGGGGGAATTTCTGTTAAGCTTTAAGGTCTGCATGAGTTCTTGATATTTTAGTACAATTGTTGGATCCTCAAGAAAATTAGAAGAGAAGAGGGAATTAAGTGGCTGACAATAACTCAGTTCTGAGGGGACGGATAGCAGGTACTCTCAGCAGGTCTTTGCATTTTAAAGAAATAAAGTGTGACAGAGCTTCTCAGTGTGACTCTTTCATGCACAAGAAGATAAATGCCAAGCTAACCTGAGTAAATGGACACAAAAGCAGCAGTGATAAATCTTGGCACTTAGGCAATTGGACCATGAAAACGAAATCTTAGGCAATCAGATAAACACTGGGCACCAAATACAAAAAAATCACATGCACCTGAGCTTTTGGTTTTTCAAATGGAAATCCAATGCGTTATTTGTAAAAAAGCAAGAACAGTTTGTGAAGGAGGGCTCTGTTCTAAGAACTGTTTGCCTCCTATTCTTCTCTGCTGTGCTTTTCTTTCCCACGCTGCCTTGATGCTTTACAGGTTTTGGGTTTAGCGTCTGTAACAGTGTTTATAGCATCTGCGTACTAAATGTAAAATGCAAGAGTCCTAGTCCTATGGTAGCAAGGCACCTGAACCTCTACTCATGGAGGGAACCTACAGCATATAATCTAACATAATTTAAGTTTTGTTTAGGGTAGAGTTGCTTCTGTCAGAGACTACTGTGGCTTGGTAAGGTGTTGTGCTAGATCTTGTACAAAAATGGGATGTATGTAAGGGATCTTATACTAGAAATGAAACCACTGTTTACTATGTTTGAGATATTTTGAGACAGGAAGTCGTAACTCTGAAGAGATGTTTGTGGAAGTTATTTGTATTATCTTCTTCCCCCCTACCCTTGTCAAATTAGAAAGTAAAATAATTGTATCGTCATTTCTCTGCATTTGCGTTCTGGCTAAGTCCTTAAAAGTGGAAGTGACGTATCTTGGGCTAAAAAAATTAAGGTTCATTCATTCCCCTCCCTGTTCTCTTTTTTCTTGCCTCGGCTCTTGCTTTCAGTGGCAGCCGATTCTTTTTTTTTGACTGAATTTTACTGTTAAAAATTTAAAATAGTAATAAGGACAAGGATGTGGAATTAAACGTTCAGACACAATATCTAGTCATTCCTGTCTTCTGGTTTTAGTTCTCAGAGTACGTTTCCTGCTATGGAATTTGAATTTTGCTGTGTTTACTTCTATTAATACAATCAAACTTGCTTCTGGGGTTTAAGTTCTTGACAGTCATGTAGTATACTTGCATTAGTGTGAAATAGTAGGAATTAGAAGGCAGATCAACTGTAACTATGTATTTTCACTTTGCTGGCCCTACTAATGTAAAGAGAGACTATTCAGTGTGGACTCTGGACTCTCCAGCTGAATCTGATCATGCAGTTCTAGGGTCAAGTTGTCTCTCTTGACCATTACGTGTGCCTTGAAAGTATTACAGAAGTGTGTGGAGATTTCTTTTCCATCTCTAGTAGTAGACTTTTTTTTTTTTTTTAGATTAGATGAAAAAATACATTGCCTGTGTTTCTTCTTTTGTTGTGTAAACTAATGCAGTTGTCTGTGTATAGATAACATTTTCATTGTGTTTCCCCGCATTGCTTTGTTCATGTGATTTTTCTTTTATACTTGCAAGCTCCCATTTTAAACCTAAAACCAATTAGTGGTTGTTTTAGTAGGAAATAAAGAAGATAAAATATGCCCTGACAATATATGGCAAGCTTGTGAAATAGCAGATGATAAGAGGTTGCCTTTTTAGCATCTGGATACAAAACTTAAAGCTGCATATTGCAGTGTTTTTCTAATGTGTTTCTTAATTTCTTTATAAATACTCTCTTCCTGGTTCTCTGTCTGCCATCCGTGAGCTACTGATTCTTTGAGGGAAGTGGTAAATTCAAATGATTTTGAGGAATTGCCTCCATGGAGTTATTTTTCAGTGATTTGATGCATGTTTCATCAGGTGCTTTTACATTTCAGGGCAAAAGCAATCATACGTGGGGGAGGGGAAGAAAAGATCTGCAATAGTTGATCTTTAGTTTTGGCCCTTTTAGTTGATATCTATCTTAGGAACTCTAAAGCGCTGAGTATCCTTAAACGTTTATTAAAGATTAGCTAAAAGAAAGTGTTAATAAGGCATGAAGCACTTCTAGATATAATAGAACTTGTTTTTAACAGAGACTACTTGGCACAAACGATTATGTGCAAATGTAATCCTATCTGGATTTTATCCATTTAGTTTTTAGAATAAAAGTAGATGATTTTAATTGGATTCATTTCACAGCTTTTTATCACCACCCCTAAAATAGTACCTGGCACAATATTAGTATTTAATACTTTAATTCTCCAGTTTCATACAATCTCCTCAGTTGTTGCACACTCTTGTAATTCTGGAATAAGTGCAGTGGTGAAACGAATCATAGTTTTTAAGGCTGGGTGGGACTGTTATGTACTGTCTTGAACCCCTGCAAGATGAAGCCATAAATTCTGATGTAATTTGTGATAACTTGCTTGTCAGGATGGGGTGGTTCCGGCGACCAACTTTAAAACTTGAATCAATGGACAATGAATGTATCACATCTTCTGACAAGGATAAAGGTAGCCTATAAAAGTTGTCTGTTACAGGCTAATACATGTTAAAAAAAAATACAATATATAGTTAACTACTGCAAAGTAAGAAAAAGTAGATAAGCTGCATTTTCAGAATGCGTTTAAAAGCTATTTACTCACTGTTCAGTTTTTTCTGCTTTTCCTTGCACTATAGCCTATTTGCATTTCAAGGACCTAACTTTAATTGTGTTTAGTAACTTTCTTAAAGATAAGACCTTGTTTCAGGTGTGAAAATGACCTCTGCTTGCCTGTGACAAGGTGTCTAGAGGGAGAGGCATATCTTGCAGTTTATTCTGGGGATCTGACAGAGCTAAGTTGGAAACAAGATCTGTATCCTATGCAGTTCTTATTGAGAATGTCATTGTTAAACCCTACAGCAACATAACCTGTTCATCTGAGGGACTTCACCTGGCCATACATCAATGAATCTCTTAGGAAAAGTTACCTAGACAAATAGGACCTATTTTCTTATTCCTGAGGAGGAAAAAAAAGGATACTCAATGCTGCTTAGACTCTTATTTTACTTTTTATTGAAATCCCAGCAGTGCTGGTGTAGGACAACATAGAGAAGCTACCAGCAGTTTGTCATTTATTCTTGATCAGGTCTCTCCATTGGACATGACTTCCTTTCGTAGATCAGCACCAGCCTGTCTGCAGTCATTTTTTCAACTGCTTTTAGCCTCTTTGGAGCTGAAGTTTTGCTGGTAATACTGAGAAAAATTAAGAGAAAAAACCGATCCAAAGGAGGAAGAATGGAGAGAACATAATATGTGGAAGACCAGCGTTATGCTCTCCTGCTAACACTAGAAGGTACAGCATGTTCTAGGCATCAGTGTTACACTACTTAAAAAGTCAAACTGGATAATCTGGTTATGTATTCACCACCAAAGTATGAGATTTGGAAGGCCTGAAATGGTAAGGTGTTAATATATTTACATATGTAAGTGTTCTTACCTTCACTGTAGGCTAATTCTTAACTGTATAGTGTAAGACAGCTAGAGTTCAGGTTTGTGACTTGTGGATATTTAGCTGAGCATGGAAGGAGGAGAAAAAGTTCATCTTTCTCTCAAATGTTAACGTATCTTGATACTGGCAAGATCAAGAAATGATTCCAAGACTCTTCAGTAGAAGCACATGTTAACCTTGTCTATTACTAAATGTCCTGCATAGCTGTTTTTACTAAGACACCCTGAGAAGTTCTGACTGCTGCTATTAAAATGTTAATAGCATTAGTAAAAGCTTGCCATGGATTTTGCACCCGTCGCTGCCAGAAGCACAAGGGCTTATGATTAGAGTACCCTGTGCATTCATCCAGCGGTTCAAGTTAGAACAGCCTTTTCATGCTTTCAGATCCACTGAAACTAACACTCTGAACCCGTACAACACACTGAAATGCCTGGAATGTTGCTTTATTTTCTACCATTTGTTAATTTACATGAAATCATTAAATAATGGACCTTTTGTCCTGCTTGTTTTGGGGAGTGCAGTGTTTGTTGTTTCTTTATATGCAAAAAAACCACCTTATTGCAATTCAAAGAAAATAAACTTGAGTTTAGGAGTTTCTCCAAGTGGTGGCAAGGGTGGATGTGTGGCTGTGGCTGCCTAATGGCAAACTGTCGGTTTCTCCTTTTTGTTAGTAACTGTACTTTCCTTGGGAATCCTTGGCCTTTGCCTTTTCATCCCCCCCTCCCCCATCAATTCCATGTTTTTAGCATAAACTATAGTCAGCAGCAAGAGCCTGAATGGAGGGGC